ATCCTGGACCACCGAGCAGCAGAACACACACGCACACACGCACACACGCACGCGCACACGCGCACACGCGCACACGCGCACACGCGCACACGCGCACACGCGCACACGCGCACACGCGCACACGCGCACACGCGCACACGCGCACACGCGCACACGCGCACACGCGCGCACACGCACACGCACACGCACACACGCACACACGCACACACGCACACACGCACACACGCACACACGCACACACGCACACACCACACACGCACACACGCACACACGCACACACGCACACACGCACACACGCACACACGCACACACGCACACACGCACACACGCACACGCACACGCGCACACGCACACACGCACACACGCACACACGCACACGCACACACGCACACACGCACACACGCACACAACACACACACAACACACAAGACACACACAACACACACAAACAACAGACACACACAACACACACACACACACGCACACGCACACACGCACACACGCACACACAGATACACACACAGATACACACAATTCTTGCGGCGGCGGCCAGGCAGGGGTCGTCTGCGCTGGCGACGGATCAGGCCCAAGCGGGGATGCCGTTCGAGCGGATTGTGCCACCATGCAAGAAGAGAAGCGGGGGAGGGCGCGGCCGAAAGAGGGGCGGACGGCGAGCAGCAACAACACAGACACACACGAACACGAGACATGCACGGGGAATGGCCGTCCGAGCGACGGCAAGCGTCCGCCCCCGCGCTGGGCCTGCCGGCTCGGCGGCGCCCACGGGGGGGTGGCGCGAGAGGGGGCGTTGCTCAATGTTTTTTTTGGGGTGGGGTGGGGTGGGTGGGGGGTAAACATTGAGTTCCGAAACAAAGTATACTTTATATGTGTGTAGAAAAAACGAACAAGCACACCATCCAGACATATGTGTGTATCTATATATATACATATATGCGTATATATATATATATATATAGATGTGTGTGTCGGGAGGCGTGGGCGATCACGAAGATTTGGCACATGCCGCCGCAGAGCTTGTCCAGAGACGACTTACTCAGTCTAGGGCAGTGGGCTCCCTCCTTGAGGATCAGGTCTATGCTCGCCACGGGACTCGCGTCACTCATGAGAGCGGCTGCCTCCACGGTCACCAACTGGCAGAGCCTCCACGTATGGCTGGAGGAGCAGACGATGGACCACGGCTCCCTCCTGGCGATCGGGCAGGCGCGTCGTACGCCAGTCCACTGGAGAACGCAGCCAGTGGTTGCGGGCCTGGCTGACGCCTTCGAGGGCTTCGTGAATGAGGGCAGGATCGCGCACCATGCCGCCCTGGCGTGGCGTGCTCTGGCCGAGGAGCGCGTCGCTGCCGAGCAACGGGCAGCGCGCGTGCGGATCCAGAAAACTATTTCCCGTTCCCTGCACTCCTCCCTCTTTCCTGACGTCCTCCCCGTGGTGCTGGCGCGGCGTCTGAAGTCATGGGGCCTCGAGGTTGTCCGCCACTCCTGGCCTCCTCTCCGTACTATTCTTGAGCAGGTCAGCCCGGCCTGGCAGAGTGCTGTTCTGAAGACAATAGCAGGAGCTTGGCTAACATCGGCCAGGCTTCATACCGCTGGCGGAGTACAGTCTTGTAAATTCGGATGTCGTGAGCCCCCGTTGATTCCAGCCCCTGATGTCTTTGCCCATTACTTGCGGTGCGATGCTTTGTGGGGTCTGGCCTACGCTAGAGACCGTGGCCCCCCGAATGGTGTGCTGACTAGGATTGGGCTGGACGGGGCCCCGACTCTTGAAACTGTGGAGGCCATCGTTATGGCGTTCCACATGTATAACGCCGCACGTGTTTCTCGTCCGCCGTCGCTCCATCAGGAGGAGTGGACTGGCCATCTGTACGAAATTCGACGGGCTGCTGTGGCGCTCGTGGAGTTGACTAGAGTGCCCGCGTAGGCCTCGGAAGGACCCCTGTGGCGCCTCTCATGTGCGAGCGATATATAGATATGTGTGTGTGTGTATATTCCATGCCCTGGGGGCTTCCGCGGAGGATCCTCTGAAGCCGCCGGGCCCTTCCAGGGAGGCCCCCCCTCCGTGTGAGACGCCGTCCCCCCCCCCCCGCCCGCTTCGAGGCCCGCCCCATCCCCGTGCCGCCCACTCTGGGCGCCGCCAACCACTTGGCATCGCTCGGACGTGTGCAGTCTTCCTTCGGCGAGGGCCATCGAGGATAATCCTTGATCCTTTGGCGAAAAAAGCAATCACGCACGAAACCGACAAAAACACAGGGGGAATGGACGTCCGAGCGAGGGCGAGGCCAGCCTTGCGGGACGGACGTCGCGGGCCCAACGGCGGCAGCTTTCGGCTTCGGGGCAGCGCCCCGTTCTGTCCGCCCCCCGCTCTGGGCGATAAAAGCAGCCTGAGCTCAGCGTCGTTGCCACTCCAGCGCGCGATTGCACACACACACATTGCATGCGTAGCCACAGACGTGCGTGCGTGCATGCATGCATCTGTTGCGTGAAGTTGTTCAGCGAGCCGTAGCCAACGAGACTCGAATCTGGAAGTCACTGAACACGTCCTGCCTAGAGACAGGCGGAACAAGCTGCGCAATCACAGCCTGAGAGCTCCTTGGTTTCGTCGTGCCGGCCACTCCGCCGCCGAGGCTGGCCAGATCTCGCAGGAGCAGCTGCAGCAGCTGCTCCAGCAGCAGCAGCAGGCCGCCGCGCTGCAGCTGCAGAGGCAGGCCGCCGCGCTGCAGCAGCAGGCAGCCGCCGCTGGCGCGCAACAAGCGCAGCAGGGGCCTCGGCGTCTTGACCGTTGTCGTCTTCGTCGTCGTCGTCGCCAGCGTCGTCGTCGTCAGCGTCGTCGTCGTCAGCGTCGTCGTCGTCGTCGTTGTCGTTGTGGTCGTCTTCGTCGTCGTCGTCGTCGTCAGTGTCGTCGTCTTCAGCGTCGTTGTCGTCAGCCTCGTCGTCGTCGTCGTCGACGACTCCGAGCGCGCACGCGGGGGGTGGGGGGGAGAGGAGGCGGGCACACGCAGGAACGCGCGTAGGGGAGGAGGGGAGGAGGGGGTGCCAAACGTCCAGAGCACTCGAACCTCGATCCCCGTGCCTCGTCCTCCTCCCTCCTCCTCCTCCTCTTCCTCCTCCTCCTCCTCCTCCTCCTCCTCCTCCTCCCTCCTCCTCCTCCTCCTCTTCCTCCTCCTCCATTTCCTCCTCCTCCTCCTCCTCGTCCACTTCCTCCTCCTCCTCGTCCTCCTTCTCCGCGTCCCTCCTCATCGTCCCTCTTCCTCCTCGTCCCTCCTCCTCGTTCCTCCTTCTCGACCCTCCTCCTCCTCCTCCTGGGGGACGCGCGTGGAGGAAGGAGGGGCAGAGGGTGGTGGGGAGAAAAAGTCAGTCCGCGGCCGACGCATCCCATCCCCGGCCGACACGTTCCAATCCCCAGCCGACACGTTCCATCCCCGGCCGACACGTTCCATATCCGTCCGACGCGTTTCGTTCCCGGCCGACACGTTCCATCCCCGGAAGCGATTTCTCACACGGCTAACACCCCGTCGGGAGGAAGACCGCACCGGCGTGGCGGCCCGGGTTTTGTGAACCCATGGCCCGGGGAGGGGGAGCTTCGGCAACGACTGGGTGAAGTCATCTCGGGAGCCTGGAGGGGGGGTCAGTGCAGACGGGGGTCAGCCAGAGCGCCCGATGTGGCAGGATTCTGCAAAGCCAGGGCTGCACTGACCCAGGTTATCAGCGCGCAGGATTTTGCAGGATCTCACAGGATTACGTTCACATTGACCCGGGTCAGTGCGTCCCCGAGAGGGGAGGCCTTGCGGTTGTCATTCGCACCCTTGGCAGACGACGCGTGTCCATGATCATTTCGAAGAGGTGTACGAGCAGAATTCTCGTCTACCAGGCGGAAGTATGCGTCGCCCACGCAGGCAACAGGCTACACAGCAGCGATGCAGCGTGGGTTTCAGTTCGATCGTTTCATGCTCATTCTATGGCGGCGGTTATGATAACACCCGGCTATGCGAGTGCGACAAGGATTCGACCAAGGAATGTCTCACGAGCTTTGACAATTATCCCAGCGTTCAAGAGGAGCCCTCGTCTTGGCTCCCAGCAGAGATCTCGAACTTGTAGACTCCACTAGTTCAGGAGAGAGGGCGGCAGTTTCCAGCAGGATGGACCCGCTAGCGAAGTAACGGACACGCTTCGCGTATCCCCGCCAGCCCATTCAGGAACGCTGCCCTGGGGAGCTGCCCTTGTATCGCGGGAGCGTGGCATCATCTGGGAGCTCGGGGAGCCTTCGTGGGCCAAGTGCTTCTTGGATGTCTCTCGGAGTCTCTTGGGATGTATCTCGCAGTTTCCTAGAGGCCTCTTGGGGCGTTTTGGGGGCCTCCTGACGACTCTTGGGAACCACTTAGGGTGCCTTGGGAGCCTCACGGAGCCTCTTCGGACGTCTTGGAGCCTCTTGCCGGTCTTCAGAGCCTCTTGGGGCCTCGCGGGTGCCTCTTGGAGGCTTCTTAGGGTCTCCTGGGGGCCGCTTGGGGGCCTCTTGGGGGCCTCTTGGGGCGTCTTGGGTGTCTCTTGGAGGCCTGGGGGCCCCTTGGGGGCCCTCTTTGGGGCCCTCTTGGGGCCCTCTTGGGGCCCTCTCCGTGGTCGCTGTCGCCGCCCCGTCGCCGCCTCGTCATCGCCCGTCGTCTGGGCCTGCGTGCAGGTCTGGCGGTTTCGTGGTCGCCGTCGCCGCCCCGTCACCGCCCTGTCGCCGCCTCGTCGTCACAATAAGAACTACACATCATAGATTTCAGCACGTAGATTGCACCACAGTGATTGCACGACTAGATCGGACAATAACGATTGCACAGCGTAGATCGCACAGCATCCATTACTCTGTATATATTGCACCAGGGATATTGCACCACATAGACTGTACAACATATATTGCACCACCTAGGTTGCACCATATATATATATATATATACATTTATATATATATATATATGTGAGTATACTGCACAACGTAGATCGCACGACATCGAGTGTACAACACGTATTGCGCAACATAAGTCGCACCACAAACATTGCGCCGCATAGATTGCACAGCATAGATGCCCACACACACACTGCACCACACATATTGCTCCACATGCATTGCACACCACCTATTGCTAGACCATTGTTTGGGGCCCACAATGGCTAATCAATACGTGCATTTGTAATGCATGGATGACCACACGTACGTACGTGCGCATGTACGTATGTACGTATGTAATGCATGCATGTATATAACTGTGCTTTTTGCATGTATGTATGTATGTATGTATGTATGTATATATGTATGTATGTATGTATGTATGTATGTATGCATGTAGGTACACAGGTGTTTATGTATGTCTGTATGCATATATACATGTATGTCTATATACATGCATGCGTGTATGCACGTATGCATGTATGTATTTATGTACACATATGGGTATGTATGTATGCATGAAGTTCATGCATACATACACACACATTATGTGTGCCTGTCTGTCTGTCTGTCTGTATGTATGTATGTATGTATGTGTGTATGTATTATGTATATATATGTATGAACGAATGAATGAATGTGTGCATGTATGCATGCATGCATCGATGTAACTATGTACTAGAACCACGCACGCGCCACGCGCGTGCTCAGGTTCTAGCCGACTGCGCAGTCGTTGTCAACATACCTCTTAGTCGGCCCTTGGGCCGTCTTGGCACCCTCTTGGGCTATCTTGGGGGCCTCTTGGGAGCGTCTTCTGTTCTCTTGGGAAAGGCTTGGGGGCCTCTTGGACCGTTTTCAAAGCCGTGAAGGCCCCAACATCGTATATGCTTTAAATGTACGTTTCGCCAACAGGAATGTAACGAACTTGGTCTCTTGGGATCCTCTTGGGAGTGCTCTTGGAGGCCTCTTGGGACGTCTCGGAGCCTTCTTGGACATTCGTGGGGCCATCTTGGGCAGTCTTGGGCGACTCGGGGCTTTCTTGGGCCTTCTTGGGGCCGGTTTTGGGGCGAACTTGGGCCGTTTTGGGCAGCCCTTGGGGCCGTCTTGGCCCCCTCTTGGGCTGTCTTGAGGGCCTCTTGGGAGTGTCTTAGGCTCTCTTGGGCAAATCTTGGGAGCCTCTTGGGCCGTCTTCAAAGCCGTGAAGGCCGAATAGTCGCATATGATACAAAGGTACGCTTTCCCGTCGGAGTTCAACGATTTTGGCTTCTTGGGGCCCTGCTGGGAGTACTCGTGGAGGCCTCTAGGGACGCCTCGGAGCCTTCTTGGACCGTCTTGGGGCCATCTTGGGCCGTCTTGGGCGACTCGGGGCTTTCTTGGGTCGTCTTGGGCGCCGTCTTGGGGCCAACTTGGCCGTCCTAGGCACCCCTTGGGCCGTCTTGGCGCCCTCTTGGGCCTATCGGAATTTAATGATTTGGGCCTCTTGGGTCCCTCTTGGGAGTGCTCTGGGAGTCCTCCTGGGCCGTATTGGGCAGCTCGGGACCTTGCACTGTCTTGGGGGCCTCTTGGAACCCTCTTGGCTCGTTTTTGCACCCTCTTGGCCTCTCCGGGCCGCCTCTGGGGAGCGAAACGGGGTGGGTATCAGCGGGCTTCCCCCGATGGTTGCGGGGTGGGCCGGCCCAGGCGGGGGGGGGGCGTACTTATTTAGATGATGCACGTACGTATGTATGTATGTATGCATGTATGGATGCATGCATGCATGCATGCATGCATGCATGCATGTATGTATGTATGTATGTATGTATGTATGTATGCATGTATGTATGTATGCACGTATGCGTGCATGAATGCATGTCTGCATGCATATATGTACGTATGTATGTATGTATGTATGTATGTATGCATGCATGCATGCAGGCAGGCAGGCAGGCAGGCAGGCAGGTAGGTAGGTAGGTAGGTAGGTAGGTAGGTAGGTAAGTATGTGTGTATGTACGCAGGTATGCATGTATGCATGTATGTACGCATGCGTATGCATGTATGTATGTATGCATGCATGCATGCTTGCTTGCTTGCATGCATGCATGCATGTATGTATGTATGCATGCATGCATATATATATATATATATATATATATATATTATAGACTATGCATGATATGCATGATATATATATATAGATATATGAATATGCGCGTGTGTGTGTGTCCCACCTGCCGTTTAGAATGTCAGTGATGTAGAGTTTTGCCTATTCCATCTTCCCATTCTTCCCCTTCGGGGCTGGGTTTATCATTGTTCCCAATGGATAGAGATCCCCTCCCCCAGGTGACCGGCAGCCAACCAGGACCTATGAGGACCCCCCACACCATCCCTGACAAAACACAGTGTGAAGATCACTGTGGGGCAAAATCTTGGGTCATGATCGGGGGGGGGGCGCGAGCACTTTGTATTGTTTTTGACAGGGACGGCGGGGGTGCTCGCATATTGCCTGCTGCGCGCAGGGCCAGCATCTCTACCAAAAAGCAATGCAACATTCACTTTGAGGTAAAATCTGGATCATGCGCGGGCACCCCGCAATCATGGTGCATTGGTTTTTGGGACGGCGGGGTGCTGGTGTTTTGCCTGCTGTGTGCAGGCCCACCAGACATGATGATGGCCACCCCGCCGCGGTTGCGCATTCGTTTTCGACAAAGTTGGTGGAAGCCGACACGTTCCCCGATATGAAATGCCACGTGCGCAGGCGCACCTGGCACACTCTGCGCGTGCCCCGAACGTGGCGCACCTGGCGCGTTTGGAGCATGCGGCACACATGGCGCACGTGGATCACGTGGCGCATCTGGCGCACCAGGCGTGCCTGGTACGCTTGGGCCACTGGGGTGCCTGGCGCACCTGATGTGCGTGGCGCGTCTGGCACGCGTGGCGCATCTTGCCCCAGCGTTGCGTACATGGGATCTGTGTTGGTTCCCATTAGCTGCCCATTCAAATGCGACCGCTGAACATGCTGAGGCCCGGGCACTACTTATGTGTTGGGAGGGCGGGCGGGAGTGAGCGAGGTAGCTTGCGGGCGGGGAGGGTGTCTTGACCCCTACCCGCGCCCCCCCCCACGCCACCTCCAGTGGGTCTGGAGGGGGGCCGCTGGTAGTTATAGCGTCGAGAAGGTCTTAGCGAAAAGGCAGAAAACACGGTTCCTCAGGTTTTGGGCCACTTTGGGCCTCATGGGGGGCGTTAACGGAATATTTTTCCTAACCATCTTGTGGTGTTGGGACCTCGTTTTGAGAAGACGATCCCCGCGTTCTTCCTCTCCTTTCCTCTCCTCTCCTCTCCTCTCCTCTCCTCTCCTCTCCTTTCCTCTCCTTCTCCTCCTCCTTCTCCTCCTCCTCCTCCTCATCTTCCTCCTCCTCCTCCTCCCTCCTCCCGTCCCCCCCCTCAGTTTGGCACACCCCTCACACGTTTCGTGGCCCCATCGGGAGCTCCACCGACGGCCCCAGTGCTGCCGTCCACATGCGTCCCCCACACAAATTCCAGCACACCCCTTACATGTTTCGTGGCCCCATAGGGAGCTCCACCGAAGGCCTCAGTGCCACCGTCCACATGCGTCCCCCACATCCATTTCGGCACACTCCTCACACGTTTCGTGGCCCCATGGGGAGCTCCACCGAAGGCCCCAGTGCCACCGACCACATGCGTCCCCAACACCCATTTCGGCACACCCCTCACACGTTTCGTGGCTTCATTAGAGAGCCCTACCGAAGGCCCCAATGCCACCGACCACATGTGTACCCCACGCCCATTTCGGCGCACCCTTCACACGTTTCGTGGCCCCATGGGGAGCTCCACCGAAGGCCCCAGTGCAACCGACCACATGCGTCCCCTACACCCACTTCGGCACACCCCTCACACGCTTCGTGGCCCCATCGGGAGCTCCACCGAAGGCCCCAGTGCTACCGTCCATTCGCGTCCCCCGCACCGATTTCGGCACACCCTTCACGCGTTTCGGGCCCCATAGGGAGCTCCACCGAATGGCCCAATGCCACCGTCCACCTGCGTCTGCCGCACTCATTTCGGCATACTCCTCACACGTTTCGTGGCCCCATAAGGAGCTCCACCGAAGGCCCCAGTGCCACCGTCCTCATGCGTTCCCTTCCCCCATTTCGAGGCCCCCCTCACACGTTTCGCGGCACCATAGTGAGTTCCACCGAAGGCCCTAGTCCACTGCGTCCCCCGCTCCTATTTCGATGCGCTCCTCACGTTTCGTGGCCCCCTCGGGAGCTTAACCGAAGGCCCCAATGCCACCGACCACATGCGTCCCCCACACCCATTTCGGCACACCGCTCACACGTTTCGTGGCTCCATCGGGAACTCCACCGAAGGCCCCAGTGCCACCGTCCACATGCGTCCCCCACACCCAGTTCGGCACACCCCTCATACGCTTCGTGGCCCCATAGGTAGTTCCACCGAGGGCCCCAGTGCCACCGTCCACATGTGTCCCTCACCCCTATTTCGGCACACCCCTCACACGCTTCGTGGCTCCATAGGGAGCTCCACCGAAGGTCCCGATGCCACCGTCGACATGCGTCCCCCGCACCCATGTCGGCGCACCCCCCGCACGTTTCGTGGCCCCATCGGGAGCTCCACCGAAGGCCCCAATGCCACCGTCCACATGCGTCTCCCGCACCCATTTCGGCACACCCCTCTCAAGTTCCGTGGCCCCATAGGGAGCTCCACCGAAGGCCCCAGTACCACCGTCCGCGTCCCCCACACAAATGTCGGCACCCACTTCACACGTGTCGTGGCCCACACAGGGCTCCGCCGACGGCCACAATGCCACCGTCCACATGCGTCCCTCACTCCTATTTCGGCACCCCCCTCACACGTTTCGTGGCCCCATGGGGAGCTCCACCGAAGGCCCCAGTGCGACCGTCCACTCGCGTCCCCCACCCATGCCGGCGCACCCCTCGCACGTTTCGTGACCCCATAGGGAGCTCCACCTAAGGCCCCAGCGCCACCGTCCACGTGCGTCTCCCACACCCATTTCGGCACACCCCTCACACGTTTCGTGGCCTCATATGGAGCGCCACCGAAGAAGATATTCACATTTGCGGTACGCACAACTGCACAACGGTCACCAGGCTACTTTTGACCAGTGGCCTCCACGATTGCGTTGTCGCCCCGTATGCCCAAACGACGGGTGGCGACGAGGCAGCGACGGGGCGGCGATGACGACCACGGAACCGCCAGACCGCCAGACAAGCCCAGATGACTGACGGGCGGCGACGAGGCGGCGACGGGGCGGCGACTGGGCGGCGACGGGGACCACATAACCGCCAGACCGCAAGGCAGCCCAGTTCCTTATGACAAACAGGTAAGCAACCCTAAGTGCAAACATTGTGTTGGGGAATCTCGATATACGCGGTTGCCTTTGAGCGCCCACCAAACAGCGTGGAGACGTGACTTGTTCAGATCGCAGTTTCACGGGGCGGCATGGAAACCTTGAGGCCAAGGTGAGCTAGTCCTTTGAGTAGGAATGTGCAGGGATAAGCTGGGACAGCATCCGCGTAATCAGAGCCCGAACTCAAATGCCTGGTATACATTCGCGTGCAGAAAAGTAGCCGAGGACGAGGTCGAGGCTACCACCTTCTGTGTGTGAACAACGCTACGAAGATCTCGGGATGAGTGACGCTCACAGGGGCAGCGTTGAGAGCCATGGTTCTTTTTTGGGTCGGACGGCGAGTTATACGCGAGTCGAGGACTGCTGTACGCCGAGGGCGGTTCTGTTGTCTCAGAAGCTGATGCTAGCTGATGTTGCCCTTGTGCCTGTGGCCGTCTCGGAAGCCAGCCTCGACGAAGCCAGGAGGATCACGGCGGCTTGGTAGCACTTAGATAAATCATAGCTTGCAGCAGGAGGACGCGGGGGCGCGTGGGCGGTGGGGAGGCACTATGTTCTCGCGCTAGCAAAGGGCGTGTACATATATATATATATATATATATATACATATATATATATATATAGACATGTAGATCTGACTACATATATATATATATATGTTTATGTATATGTATGTGTATATATATATATATGTATCGGAGGTTGGGGGTGAGATCGCAGTGAAACGGAGACCCCCCACCGGGAAATCGGTTTCGGTTTCGTGTTCGTGTCGTGCGTGCGGCCGAGGCGAAGCTGTGCGTGATCCTCCTGTAGCTAGGCCGAAGTAGGAGCGAAAGTCCGTCGCCCAGCAGCCGGTGGCCGGTTGGGCCGGGCGGTGTCCCGGGTGTCCCGGGTGTCCCGGGCGTTTTCCCGTCCGCAGGTGGCCGGTTGGGCCGGGCGGTGTCCCGGGTGTCCCGGGTGTCCCGGGCGTCCCAGTATCGATATTGAGATCGATGCGGTGCCCCGAGGTGTCCCGTGGTGTCCCGTGGTGTCCCAAAAAGTGAGATCGATAGTGAGATCGATAATGAGATCGACAGGTGTCCCGTGGTGTCCCGTGGTGTCCTGTGGTGTCCCGTTGAGTGAGATCGATAGTGAGACCGATAGTGAGATCGATGTGGTGCCCCGCGGTGTCCCGTGGTGTCCCGTGGTGTCCCAAAAAGTGAGATCGATAGTGAGATCGATAGTGAGATCGACAGGTGTCCCGCCGTGTCCCGTGGTGTCCCGTGGTGTCCCGTTGAGTGAGATCGATAGTGAGATCGATGGTTAGATCGACAGCTGTCCCGTGGTGCCCCGTGCTGTCCTAAGGTATCCCATTGAGTGAGATCGATAGTGAGATCGATAGTGAGACCGATAGTGAGATCGAGAGGTGTCCCGCGGTGTCCCGTGGTCGCTCGTGGTGGCCCGTGGTGTCCCGTGGTGTCCCGTTGAGTGGGATCGATAGTCAGATCGACAGTGAGATCGACAGGTGTCCCGTGGTGTCCCGTGGTGTCCCGTTGAATGAGATCGATAGTGAGATCGATAGTGAGATCGATACTGAGATCGATGTGGTGCACAGAGGTGTCCCTCGGTGTCCCGTGGTGTCCCGTTGAGTGAGATCGATAGTGAGATCGATGGTTAGATCGACAGGTGTCCCGTGGTGTCCCGTGGTGTCCTATGGTGTCCCGTTGAGTGAGATCGATAGTGAGACTGATAGTGAGATCGAGAGGTGTTCTGCGGTGTCCCGTGCTGGCCCGTGGTGTCGCGTGGTGTCCCGTTGAGTGGGATCGATAGTGAGATCGATACTGAGATCGACAAGTGTCCCGTGGTGTCCCGTGATGTCCCGTTGAGTGAGATCGATCGTGATATCGATTGAGTCAGATGTTGGTTCCCCCCTTTCTTTCCCCTCACAACCTCCTTATCACCGAAGGGTGGTCGTATAGGTATATGTATATAGGTGTGTGTGTGTGCAGGTATGTGTGCATCATCGGCTGTTGACACTTTGCAGAGGTCCGGGCTGACGCCGCAGCAGCAGCAGCTGCTGCTCCAGCAGCAGCTCCTGCAGCAGCAGCAGCAGCAGCAGCAGCAGCAGCAGCCGCCACAGCAGCCGCAGCAGCAGCCGCAGCAGCCGCAGCAGCAGCAGCAGCTGCCTCCGCAGCAGGCCGATACCATACTGGCCCCTTCTGTTATGATGTTCCAGCCTACTTTAGCCTTGGCCACCTGAAAAGAATTTCGAGCGCCAGAAAAGTACCCCCAAACTCGAGGGTTTTCACGTGTCAGGCCCTGGGAGACACTCGTCCGACACTGTTTCGACGGTTTCGACACTCTTTCGACACTTTTCCGGGTGCTCGGGATTATTTCTGGGATGCGGCCCTTGAGCACGATGGGAGCAACAGAACCCTTCTGGCTCCCGATGGCTTCTTTTCGCCCGCCCCAGTCGCCGTTGGGGCCCCCGTTGCTGCGCCCGCTCTGGACACCTCGGGGCGCTCCAGGCAGGCCTCCCGCCTCCGAGGGGAGGGGCAGCGAGGGGCCGACGTCTCTGGCGGAGGCTTGCGGCTGCAGGACGAGCGAGGGCAGCGCCGGCGAAACGCCGGCGGAAGGCCGGCGGAAGCGCGCAGTGCGCCCCCCTTCGGGCGTTGCGTCTCATGTGGGGGCGACAAAACGGGGGGGTGGACGAGAGGTGCGCCTTCCGTGATTGCCCGGAAAGGGGCCCCCAGTTGGGCACGAGAGGTGCACGTTTCCCCTCCCCCCCTCCGTGTATTCAGCGAGCGAAGAACGGTATCACATTTTTTTCGCCGTCGGGGACACCTGCCCCTGGGCGGCTGGAAAGTTGATACCCCTACGGTGCCACCGTAAGGCTATAAACTTTCCAGCCGCCCTGGGGCAGGTGTCCCCGACGGCGAAAAAGTGTATTTTATACCGTTCTTCGCCCGTTAATGTATCGCCCCCCATGAAGCGGCGCCCAGCCCCCAGGAGGTGGCCACGTGTTCGGGCGCAGGGCCCCCAGGGCGGGCCACGCCCGTGGCGTTCCGCAGCAGCGGCGCCCGCTCTGCTCGCCGCGCGGGGGTCGGGGTCGAGGACCGCGCGCCCGTCCCGCCGTCCCCCGCGAGCGGCGGGCACGGTTTTTGCCCGCTTCCGCAGCCTCGCGGTCTGGATTCCAGAACGCGGCCCCCGTGGACGCGCGGTCGCGCGGAGCCGTTCCGCGCGGGGCCTCCGCAACAAGAGCGCCCCGTGGCCACGGGGGGTCGCGGCCCGGGGGCCCGGGGGGCCCGGGCCCGCGGAGCCGTGGACGCGGATGGATGTGTTTCCCGCCCAACGAAGCCCCCGCCTTCCCCTGGTGTCCTCTCCTCCTCTGTGGGGGCGTTCGTTAAGGAGTGTGCCCAGGAGGCTACAGGACCTGGAGGATCTCTCACCCGATGAGGGCCACGATTCGAGCGCCGCTGGCTTCCAGACCTTGGATTCCTCGTCGAATGATTCCTTATCCAATGCCCTCTCCGTGCCTCTGGAAAGGGCGCCTTCTGTGGGCGCTTGTAGGGTGGGGTCCTAATCGGGATCCCGCCCCAGAGTCCCTGGCGCTCTCTACTCCACACGTGGTGACGTGGAGGCGGGGGGGATTTGAACCTGCTCCCCAGCCTTTCGAACGTCAGGAGGGGTGGTAAAATCTCCCCCTTGCGCGCCAGCAAACGGCGATGAACACGACGACCCCGCTGACGACGGCGGCGCTGACGCGGTCGACGACGACGCTGACACTGAGCCCTGTGAAATAAACGAGCGAGGTTCGCATTTGACAATCCCGCCCGCTGGCCCGCTTTCTGTCACACCCGTCGTCCTCGTCATCATTATCCTTTGTATGTTTGGTGCTTGTTTCCCCAGCTTTGTCGTATCACCGCGCCAGGTTTCTGTTTAATGTCTCGCCCGCCCGCTCACTCTAACATCCCGCCCGTCGTTGTCGACGTCGTCGTCGCCGTCCTCGGTTTGTCCTGTGTGTCTTATTCACCAACCTCATTCGAAGTCCCACCTGATCGCGACACTTACGTTTATTGTGCCGCCTGTTTGCCATAGTGCCTAGTCCGTCTCCTCGACCCGCCCGCTTCATTGGCCCGCCGCCCGACCGATCCTCCCGACTTATGTCCCGCCCACCCAACCCGCACGAAGCTTTGAATGTCCCGCCCTCGTCCTCGTCGTCGTCGTCGTCGTCGTCGTCGTCGTCGTCGTCGTCGTCGGCTCGGTCGTTGTCGTCCTTGTCATCATCGTTTTCGTCATCGTCTGCGTCGCCAGCGTCAGCGTTAGCGTCAGCGTCAGCTTAGCTTCAGCATCAGCCTCGTCGTCGTCGTCGTCGTCGTCGTCGTCGTCGTCGTCGTCGTCGTTGCCGTTATCGTCGTTGTCGTCGTTGTCGTCGTTGTTGAACATTATTACTTCTAAAGAATAATTATTGTTGGGACCCCTGGTGCACGGCCCCCTCGCCGCGCCTAGGCCGCAGCCATGTTTTCATCATTTTCGTGAGGAAGTCTCCGGCAAAACGGGTTGGTCCGGATCCGGTTGTTTTGTTACGGGCGGTTTTCCCTTGCAAAAAATAAGGCAAAGTGGACATTTCTTGTTCTAACATAACCAAACTTCAAGAATCCCTTGCAAAAAATAAGGTAAAGTGGACATTCGCGCGCGCAAGACGAAATCCTTCCAAAACCTTAGTGTTCGTAGCGATTTTAACATAAAAACATCAAAAACCAATGGTTTTTCAAAAACAAAGTGTCAAAATTTCATCCCGCGCGCTCTTGCGGATTTGTAGGAAACCCAACACTTTTTAAACATTTCTGTCAAACGGGCTTTTGCGAGCAACTTTTTCACGTGCTTCGAACTTCTCCAACAACGGTTGCGCACCTGCCAGGGCCATCATCCCTGTCAAATAATACCATGCGGGACACATTCGTTTTTTCTTCGCGCGCGCACGCCGAAATCTTCAAAAACCATTGGGTTTCTTAGGAATTTTAGCACCGCGCAACATAAAATCATACGAATCGCACCGTAGGTCCTCGAAAAACATCTGTACGAATTTTCAAAATTTCTACCCGCGCGCGCTGTCCGAATCCTAAAAAACCAATGGTTTTTCAACATTTATGTTACATGAGCTCGCGCGAGCTACTTTCGCAAGCTCTTTCAACGGCGTTCGCGCGCCTGCCAGGGGCCACAATCCCTTGCAAAACATACCATGCGGGACACATGCCAGTACAGGTGTCCAGTGTTGGAACAGGGGGAAAAGTCGTATACTAAGCTAGCGTCCAGAAAATGTTACCACAACAAGTCACTGTACCCATGCGCCAGTGTAGTAGCCACGGTCGTCCGCAGGCCACGAAGTGAAGTGTCCGAACGTCATAGGGCGGGAAGCTGGGTGTGGGTGGTGGCGAAGAGTCGTTTGGAAATGTGGTAGAGCTTGAACCGGCCCCCCCACAAAGTGGGGGTATTGGCGGGCGTCGTATGAAAACCCTGGCACTGGTGAGAACGGAGTGTCCCCACGTGCTAGTAATTGTCGTTGTTGTTGTTGGTGGTGGTGGTAGTGTTGTTGTTGTTGTTGTTGTTGTTGTTGTTGTGGTTGTTGGTGTTTATGTTGTTGTTGTTGGTGTTGTTGTTGTTGGTGTTGTTGTTGTTGTTGTGGTTGTTGTTGTTGTTGTGGTTGTTGTTGTTGGTGTTGTTGTTGTTGTTGTTGTTGTTGTTGTGGTCGTCGTCGTCGTCGTCGTCGTTGTTGTTGTTGTTGGTGTTGTTGTTGTTGTTGTTGTCGATGTTGTTGCTGTTGCTGTTGTGGTTGTTGTTATTGTTGTTGTTGTTGTTGTTGTTGTTGTTGTTGTTGTTGTCGTTGTCGTTGTCGTTGTCGTTGTCGTTGTCGTTGTCGTTGTTGTTGTTGTTGTTGTTGTTGTTGGTGTTGTTGTCGTCGTCGTCGCCGTTGTTGTGGTTGTGGTTGTGGTTGTTGTCGTCGTCGTCGTCGTCGTCGTCGTCGTCGTCGTCGTCGTCGTCCGCGTCCGCGCCAGCGCCAACGTCAGCGTCGTCGTCGTCGTCGTCGTCCGCGGCGGCGGTTGCGTCATCGTCGTCGTGTTCGTCGTTTGCCAGGGCGCAGGGTGGGGGTTTAGACCCTCCCACTCCGAATAGGGGAGAGGTCAGCGGAGGGGGTGGGTGGGGGGCTCTCGGCCGTACGGGTGGGGGTCCCAGTTCCAGAGGGGGGGGGGGGAATTTCCGAGGGGGGGGGTCTCAATCCTAGCATGGGGGGGGGGGGGACGGGTGTGTGTGTGTGTGTGTGTGTGTTCAATTCTAGCATGGGGGGGGGTGGGCTTGGATTTTGGCTGGTTTTTTGTGAGGCACAGCTCTGGTGAAGGTCGCGCTCTCTCTCTCTCTCTCTCTCTCTCTCTCTCCCTTCACCAGTGTATCCCCTCCCTCTCTCTCTGCTTTGCCCCGCTCACCCTTCTTTACCACGCCTTGAGCCTCCGGGAGCCGAGCCGAGCTGGGCCGCAACGCTGCGAGGTCAGTCACGCGGAGCACCCGCGTCGTGAGGGGTGTGCCACCGCGTCCTTTTGGTCACGGAGTTCGTGTGAGCTGGGCGCCTCGAGTTCGGCTCCTCTCCGCTCGTTCGGCTCCCCGCTCCTCTCCCGGTCCTGCTCCCTCTCCCTCTTTCTTCTCCTCTGCTCGCTTCTCTCGTCTCCTCTACCCTCTCCTTCCTCCTCTCCTTTCGATCGTCTCGTCTCTCGTCTCGTCTGTCTTGTGTCCTCCCGTTCCCCAGCTTCTTTCTCCCCTCTGCTTTCTTCGACGGCCAGCCAGCGCAGCTACGCGAGGCCAGGTAGCCGTAGGCCCACCTCTCTGCTTAGCCGAGCAGCCGCGACGCTCGACTAAGGACCACTTTGGGCTCAGGAGGCGCTCTGGTTCCCGGGCCGTCTCTTGGACCTGCGTCGCGGCATCCGTTCGTGGCCGCTCTGGCCAGCAGCAGAGGTGCCGAGGTGCCGCCAGATGCGCCTGAGCGGGGGGAAGTGAGGATCAAAGGTAGAGAGTCAGTAGGGACAAGTCGACTCAGACAGAACTCTACGCCCACTTCCCAGGAGCATATATGGGCAAGATCGGGGAAGTGGAGGGGAAAACGAAGATCCAGAAGACACAGACAAATATGGGGAGTCCTGGGCCTTG